CCTTTCTCTCCCTCCTCAGCAAAACATCTAGTTTCTGTTTGGTTTGGTTCTCTCTCTTTGTGCCCCAGCCCAGAATCTGTCTTCAGGCAGAATGTCTCTTAGGAGCCAAAGTCCTATGATCTGTTGCCCAATGTCTGAAAAAAAAAATTGCTTCATATGTTTTGTCTGGTTTTTAAGTTGTTTATGGGAGTAAAGCAATTCTCACAGTGGGGAATTCTTCCTGGGCAGTAGCAGAAGTCCTATGAATTGCAAAATAACTTGTTAATAGATGGTGGTCACATGACCAGAAATAAATAGGATTATTTATAATAAAAATTAAATAAATAGGTTAATAAATAGACTATAAGACTATTGAAAGCCCCAGTAAAACACTGTCTTGGAAAAGAATGCTGTGGTGTCTGGCAAATGCATTGTAAGTGCATGGTGTTGGGTCTGCTCCTGGGGCTTAACATAACATTAACATAGCATCCCCAGGGGGTTTTATGTATGGGATGTGGGGGTGGGTTTGCTTTATGAAGGACTTGGCAGACTTTACTCCTTGATCCTCCTAGCTCTATGTGATGATCTGATGTCTCTCCATTATCCTGTCTGACTCCCCACCTCAGTCAGTCAACTGAGGAGTTCTCAATGGCTGAGTTCTTCACCCTTTCAGACGTTGAGCTTAGGAGTGTGGCAACACTGAGAGATGCACTTGCGATTGTTCATTTGTGAATTTCTGTGACTAAGTGCCACCTCTGGGACTGTATGCCTGCCCCATATTGAAATCTAATATCATAGTATCTAGGATCCCCACACTGGATATTCATGGACCAAAGGGTTTCTCAAGACTTAGTTCCCAAAGCTGTGCTTCTCTGGGTCATCTTTGAGTAAGTGATGATCATGTGTCTTTACCAGGGTGTAACCAGACTTTTGACTCACTTATTGGGTTCTTCTTCCTAGCATCCTTCTCTAACCTTCCAACCCTCCAACACTAGGTAGGAGAGCAAGGGGGTGTCAATCTTGTTAGACTACTTCCTGTTGATTAAGGGAGTCCTTGGGGCAACTTTGATCTTCATCATCAGGATACCTCCAACCAGCAACCAGCAACAACCCTCAGGCCTCTGGTATTGGTACACCCTCTGAGGAGTCCCCAGAAGGCCAAATGTAAACCATTTTCATCTAGCAAAATAACAGCCCTGCCTAAGTATGAGACAATCACGGTCAGTTGCTATGAACTATCTAAAGCAGCCACATATCCCACACCTGGGATTAAAACAAAAACATATTCCTATGACATTTCTGTGTTTTTAAAGGAACCAAAAATTCTCACTACACCAGGGAGTCTCAGTTTGGCACATATTGGGCACAGTTGGCAATGACTGGAGGTTGTTGAAACTGGTAGGAGAGCTCCAGGCAAGCTGCCAAACATCCTGTCTTCAAAGGATGGTCCAGACAAGAAAGCATTATCAAGCCAAAATAGGTCTTTGGTTTACCACTATGATGGGGAAGACAATATAAAAACACGTGACCTTCCAGACTATCTTCGCGTCGTCTGTCATCTGCTCTGTGATTTGTGACATTGCTCATTGCTAGAATACTCACTAGGGAAGTAGGAGATGGCTGGAAAGAAAAGGAAGGGAGAGAGAAAGAAAGAGCCCTTTCCATTGGAATTCCAACAAAATTAGGATATGAATAGCCATGCCTTGTTCGCTTCTTAATTTTATATTCAGTCATATTCTTGTCCAGATAGCACAAGAATTCAAATGCTTGATGGGAGACAGTGGACTCTAATTTTCTTGTGACTGCTCTGTCATGAAGCTGGTAAATAATTCAGAACATGGTAGAGGCCAGGGGCTGGTTGACATCTGGTGCTATATTGTTCATGTCTAAGTACAGACTCCAAAGATGACACTCAGCACCTGTCACCACTGTTCTGCTTTAACCATGGGTCTACTGTTCAGTGACTATTGATCAGCCGCAATTAATATTTGTCTGAGTTACACACACACACACACACACACACACACACACACACACACACTATGCTGGGTGCTTTCAAAACCACAAAGCAGAAATGGCAACCTCTCACATTCCCGTGATTGACCCCAAATCTGTTTTTTCTATTAAAGGATGGATTGGTTTTATAAAGTAGGGGTAAGACTCAGGCATATTCAATCTGTGACTCATGGACCACGTGCCCCACCCACTTCTTTCTCTCCTCCCCTCCCTCTCTTCCTCACATCTTGCTTTGTAGCCAGGCTGGCCAACTCCTGCACATCCAGCTCAGCCTTCTGAGCACTGAGAATGCAGGTGTCTATCTTGGTTTTACTTCTGATCACAGTATTCATATTATGAATATTTTCTAAAAGTAATAACATCTCCTCAGCCAGTTACTCAGCCCCTCTCCCTAGAACCCGACTAGCCCATTGCAGCTCTGTGATTCTGACAATTTAAAATCCGGTACAAGGGCCCCAAAGGATATAGAAACTCCACAGGAAGACTAACAAGTGTCAACTAACCTGGGTTCTTGGGGCTCTGAGGGTCTGAACCACCAACCAAAGGACATACACAGGCTGGACCTAGGCCTCCCCACATACATGTAGCAGATGTGCAGCTTGGTCTTCATATGGGTCCTAAACAACTGGAGTGGGGGCTATCCCTAAAGCTGCCTGTACATGGGATATGTTTTTCTAGCTGGGCTACCTTGTCTGGCCTCAACTGGACAGAAAGCACCTATCCCCGAAGAGACTTGAAATGTCAGGGTGGGGAAAAACCTGGGGGGGGAGGGCACCTGCTTAGAGGAGAAAAGGAGGGGGTGGTGAAGGATTATAGGAGGGGGTAACCAGATATTAAGTGAATAAGTAAATAAAAAGTTTAATTAAATTTTAAAAATAAATAAATAGCTAAAAACCACCACACGTTTTGGGCAACTCAGCTGTCTGGACATGGAAGGTTCTTCCTCATCCTGAGAGACAAGAGACAGTATGGGCTCGTGACCCCAGAATCACCTAGGATCAAACAGAGCTCAAACAAGGAACTGTGTGGAGAGATCTTAGGACATGAATTTTGGGGAGGGAAAAGGAGATGATGTGTGTGCCTTATGAATCAAAAGTAGTTTTTAAAAGAATTGTGACCATTAGAAGTCTCTAGAAAATGCAGAGATCATTACCTAGAAATTATGAAATGTACTTTATCTCTGTTCTTAAAGTATCTGTGACAGTAAGTTTCAAATATATTTGTTAAAACATTTTATATTTTAAAATGTTGTGAAATACATTTATAAGTATATACCTACACATGATAGAATGTAACCATGTATAGTTAAGATAGTAAAAACATTTTAAACCTGTATAAGCATGTTTGTTAGTCTACTTGCTTTCCTCCAGGGCCCAGTGTGGGAGCACTTGGAGCGCTGACTGCCCTCTGGTGGTGAACCAGAAGCAATTCAATATATGACCTGAGATGCCCACTCTTGATCATGTGGTACCCACTGGCAGGAAGGGGCCAGCTGAGGAACATCTGGTCTTCAAATGTGTCGGATGAAGGAGATTGATGAAACAACTCTTCTCTTCCACTTGGATCCATTTTTCTTTAAATCCTGGGGCAGCTCTGAGATGGAGCCTCTGGCAGAAAGCCTCGAGTTGTTTCTGTGCTTTAGTGAACAGTTTGCATCCTTGACCAGGAATAGCCAAGACTGAGTAGATGCCCATAGAGGGTCATGTGGTGACATGGAGCCAGAAATCAACTGCTCTGAATTCTGTGACAGTTTTCCTGGCCAAGAGCTGGATCGGAGACCCCTTCATGACCTTTGCAAGACAACCATTGTAAGTGAGCAGACTGGGGCACCATACAGACGCCATGGCACTACACATATACATGGTGGTGGGCATGGTTGGGGGGGTGGAACAGGAGGAGAAGGAAGAGGAGGAGGAAGAGGAGGAGGAGGAGGAGGAGGAGGAGGAGGAGGAGGAGAAGGAGGAGAAGGAGGAGGGGAAAGAAAAGGAGGAAGAAGAGGAGGAGGAAGAGAAGGGAGAGGAGGAGGAAGAAGAGGAAAAAGAGGAGGAGGAAGAGGAGGAGGAGGAGGAGGAGGAGGAGGAGGAAGAGGAGGAGGAGGAGGAAGTGGAACTGCCCATTAGGACAAGCATTGCCCTGTTTTGGTGCTGTCTGTAGATCTTTATTCTTTTGTTTGGTTGGCTTTGGTTTTGTTTCTCTGTGTAGCCCTGGCTGTCCTGGAACTCATTCTGTAGACCAGGCTGGCCTGGAACTCAGAGACCTGCCTCTGCCTCGTGAGTGTTCAGATTAACGATGTGATCCTTCATTCTTAACTGCTTCTCTTTTTATTCTACCTCCAGACTGACTCCCAGCACAGTAGTCTGGACATCTCCCCACTGTCTCCTGCCCTCCTGGGTATTATTTGGACCTTTCTCAGCTGTGGGCTACTTCTGGTGCTTTTCTTTCTGGCTTTCACAATTCGCTGCAGGAAGAACAGGTAAGAAGCCCCGCAACCCCTCCCCGCCTAGAGTCCCGTCTCCTGTAACCAGAGCTGTGAAACCCAGAATGCTGACATCATCTTGGCACCAGGAGCAGCTAGCCAAGCCAGGGTCCCCCAATGCAAAGCCTGTGACCCTAGGGACCTTGTCTGTCATGCTCCCCACTGGGCCTCTAAGGCTTAGAACAGATTGACACATAATGGACACAGTAAGTGTGTTTGGTGGTCTTGGAAGGAAGGGTGCTTAAATCCAAGTGCTGAGTGCTGCCAAGAAAAGAACTGTAAAGGGCATGTGTACAGGGTAGAGACCTACACGATTTCCATAATGGAAACTAGCACCCCATCAGCAAATTATAAAGAATATCATTGTCTCCCATGTGGTTTGCTCCCAGAAAACCAGTAGCTGAAAGCATTCAGGGGCAAGCTTTGTCTGTTTAAACAAAAGAAACTTTGGGATGGAGAGGCAACTCAGTTGACAAAGTGCCTGCCCAGCATCCACAAAGCCCTGGGTTCAGTCCTTGGCTCACATATAACTATGTGTGGTGATGCTTGCCTGCAATCTCAGAGCTCAGGAGGGGAGGCAGGAAGATTAGGAGTTCGAGGTCATCCTTGTCTACAGAGGGTTTGAGACAGTCTCTCCCTTCCTAGTCATCAAGGTGGTTCAGTGGGTAAAAGGAGTTTGCTGCCAAGCTTGAGGACCTGATTTTGATCCCCAACACCCCACATAGTAGAAGGAAAGAACTAGCTGTTACAAGTGGTCCTCTGACCTCCCCCCCCCACGCACCAGAGAATAAAATTTAAACCTCCCTCCCCTCGAAAGGAATGGAAGCCTCAACTTGAGACTACCTCAGAGTGTGCTCCTTTAGTTGTTAGGGTAAGAAATGATACCTTCCATCTTGGGTCTTGTTCTTCACTGGATTGCTCTAGACTTCTGCCCGTCAGTGAGGCCCATGTGAGAAGGACCTGATATTTCCAGCTTGTAGCCGTGTGAATACCTGGGACTTACTCTTAGTCATGGTTTTCTAGAAAACTGTAACTGCTGTATGTATGAAATTTATTAAGTCAGAATATTTATAAAGAACAAGATGATAAGAAACACTGTGGATCAAAATACATTATGTGGTGAGGTAGCTCATAAAAGGGAAGATAAAATGGCCCATTTTAAAAAGTGATGTATTGGACAATGAAATTAGTTCAAAGGAGCAACAATACAATCAAATAATTCAGCCAGGCATGGTAGCACATGCCTTTAACCCCAGCACTCGGGAGACAGAAGAAGGAGAATCTCTGAGTTCCAGGCCAGCCTGGTCTACAGAGTTAATTTCAGGACAGCCAGGGCTACACAGAAAAACCATATCTCAAAAAGAAACAAACAAAAACAATCAGATGATCTACTTCATTTCATTTCTGAGATTTGTGTGTGTGTGTGTGTGTGTGTGTGTGTGTGTGTGTGTGTGTCTGTCTGTCTGTCTGTCTGTATCTGGGGGGGGGGTGTGCATACATGCATGTTCTGTTATGTCTAGGAAACAGTTCCCTAAAATCATCTACTATCTCCGGCTCTACAATCTTTCTGACCCCTCTTCCTCATAGATCCAGGAGCCTTGAGGAGAGGGCTTTGATACATGAGACATCCCATTTACAGCTGAGCACTCTCCACTTGGCTATTTTCTGCATGTTGGGCAGCTGTGAATCTCTGTATTAATTGCCATCTACAAGAAGAAGCTTCTCTGATGATGGCTGAGTGATGTATTGATCCATGGATGTAGCAATACGTCATTAGGAATCATTTTATTGCTGTGTTGATTTAGCAGAATAATCGTAGTGGCTTTTCCCCTGGGACCCATGACCTTGCTATCCATAGGTTCTGGGCCTCCTTGACAGTCTCAGAGATAGGTTTCATTTCATGGACTGGGCCTCAAATCCACTTGAAAAACAGTTACTCCCATAGCATTCCCTCTGCTGTTCCACAAGTGAGTATGTCTTGCCAGAAAGGTCAATACTGTAGTTCACAAGGTTCATAGTTAGGTGAGCTTGATAATTGTCTTTCCCCCCTGTGATAATAGGAATAAAACCTCCCAGCACTATGAAAGGTAGCCAGTAAGGGTTAAGCTTCCAGCTGAATAGCAGTTAGATTTCTCCACATTCAATGACTCAAACACATGATGTCTTTAACAAAAGGGTCTTAAAAGGAACCTACTTCTAAAAAACAAACAAAAAAAAACCTATGATGTCTTTATTCTCAGATAATCTGATTATATAGCAAATCCAAAGGAATAGATTTTTAAAACAAACCCATTCATAGTTACACCCTCCCATTTTATATATAGATACATAAACACACATATATAATATATATGCACATGTAATGTATACATATATAACATGTGCATATATGTATACATATATGTATATTATATATAAATATGTACAAACAGATATGTATAATATGTGTATGAATATATAATATATGTACACACATATATATGATTATAATATATAATTCATATAATGTATACATGTATGTGTACACACACATATATACGTATATATATACATATATATATATATATATATATATATATGTATATATATGCAAACTGATCACTTGAAGAACCTAGAATTCCCAACTCAGATTTCAAAAAGCATAAAGTCACTAGGACCCACCCAATTTCACTGCTTACCACCAAGTAAGAAAGTCAGTTTTGTACTGGCAAATATAGACACATACATCGACACAAGGAACACATAGAAGTACGCCCACGTTTTTGTGACCCACAGATAACCAAGAGTAAAGGCAATTTCATGGTAAAGTTCACTCTCTTCAACGGAGGCCACTGGAAAAGCTAGATCCCCACATCAAAGACGTGCCTTTGACCTATACTATATACCATGTTCAAAATTAAAATTCCAAGCTGTCATGTTTATTCAGAAATAATAGAAAGTTTCTGTGATACTGGGAAAATATTCCTTGGATAAAATATCAAAAGCACAATCTATAAAAGAAAATTGAAAAATTCAGCTTCGTAAGAATGAAATAACAACTTATCTTCCAAAGAGAATCTTGAGAGTATTAAAAAAAAAAGTCATGGATTAGAATGAAATATTTATAAATCTGATAAAGTACTTCTATTTGTATGTGTTGGCACACACTGCTGGTAAGAGTGCACTGTGGTAAAACTATTGTGAAAACCTTGCCCACTGGTGTCTTTCAAAATTCAGTTCCCAGCCATCTTACTCTTGAGTTTTTACTTAAGAGAAATGACTCCATGTCTATAGAAATACTTATAACCAATGTTCATGGCAGCTGTATTTTAATAGTCCAAAGCTGGAGATAACATAACCATTCATCAGTAAATGAACACAGAAAAAATACTATACGCTGATGTGATAGAACATTATCCAGTAATTAAAAGAATGAATTGCTGATTCGGAAAAATATAGATAAATCTGAAAATAATTATACTGAGTAAAAGAGACAGGGGGTGGGGAACCCACTTTTATAATTCCAGTTACACAAAATTCTTGAGAAGTAATCCATTGCTAACTAATTTGTTCTAGCAGAAGGGTCAGCAGTTGACTGCAAGTGGGTGAGGTCAGCAAAAAGAGACAGGAAAGAGGAATTATGAAAGGTCATGTGGGAAACTTCGAAAGCTCTGAATGTCCATTTCCTTGTTAGTAGTGACATATACATGGCAAGGAACTTGTATTGGGGCTCAAGAGATGGCTGTTCTTCTAGAGACTTTGGTTCAGTTCCCAGCACCCACCTTCTTGTAATTCCAGCCCCAGGGTATCAGACGCCCTCTTCTGCCCTCCATAGGCACTGCATACACATGGTGCACATATATATGTTCAGGCAAACACTCATATACATAAAATAAAAATAAATGTTCTACGAACATTCTTATGTTTCTGAGAAGCCGTCATGTGGAATAAAGTATATGATTTGCAGTGTGTTTTTCTAAATGGCTTGCTAAGTATCTTAAGACCATCTGATAACTTATTAGATATTAATATTTAATATAGAAAAAATTCCCTTAGATTCTTTATGAACTTATTAATAAGGATATTCCTTTAATAATAGTCTTATTAAACTGTAAAGATAACACTAACTTTACTGTTGAAACTGTTGAATAGTTCAGATCCTACAGGAGGCTCTCCTGGTGCCTACTCTGATATGCACAAACTAGAGTTTATGTTGTAAGTTCTGTACTAAGCTAGCCTTGTTCAATAAGCCCTTTTATTCTGAGGCTTTATTTCCTTATTACTGGAATAATATGGATATAAATCAGTGATAGTTATAGATGATAGGTCGACATCTTGTTGTATCTCGAAACTGATGCTAGAATTGCCATCATAATCTTCAGTAAAATGTGAGTAATCTCCAGAGAAATATGAATTATAAAAACTGTGTAAAATGTGGATATTTACTTGCAACGTTCCAACTTAACCTGTTAACTGTTTCGTGAATGTTAGCAAAAGACGAAAGTGCCCTGGTTCAGAGCCAAAGTAGTCAACACTCTTGACAATAACAGTAAGCAGCTTCCTATTAGACCCGATGGCTCCCAGGACAATGAAAGGACCGTGGACACAGTTCACATCCAGAGAGGACAAGGAAAGAAAGGCCTGTGAGGGATGCTTCCATAGCCTGTGAGTTACCTGTCAAGGAGAGGAGACTCAGTCCACAGAATTCACTGCCTTTACCATGAGATATAAGTAAGCTGGGGAGTGGGGCGTGGAGAGAAGGAGAGGATGCTACCTGATCTTCCAAGGTTGCTCATGTATTATACAAACAGTCCTGAGAAGGGCCTGGATAAAGAACAGGCAGGCACTGTGTCTTGGAATACTAAGCAAGAATATATAGAGCTGTTCCTGGGCCCATGGTAGCTTTGCATCCGCCTCAGAGCTCTGCATAAAGGCACCTTCCACATCTGTAGGAGTGACAGTCAGATGCCCAGACTGAAAGAGCCCTCTCTTATGCCCTCCTTACGCCTCCACTGCTG